GCCGAGGGTGGCGGCGGCAGCGCCCGCGGCACGGCGGCACGGCGGGGGGGCGGCACACATGCCCGGATTGTGACGTCCAGTCTGGTTGCTGTGGCAACCCCATCCCATCGTTCCGCCAGCGCGACTAGTTAACAGCGGAGAACAAGTTGCGGGGACTAGTCTTGAGCAGCCTGGTGAGGGAGCGGGATGGGGGGGCGGCGCGGGGGTGCCGGGAGCCGTCAAGGCGCCCATCCGTCCCCGGGGCACCACGGCCAAGCCGCCTGCGGGGCGCCGATGGCCCGGGCGCAGAAGGCGAGGCAGTGCTACCCGCGCGCGCCCCACGCGCGCCCCGGGCAGGGCCAGCGGTTGCCACCCTGCCCGCGGAGGCACTTGGGCTCCAGAGGCCGGATGGTGATCCACAAGCTGCCCCACTAACTAGCCTTTCACACCCCGGACTCGCCCCACCTCGTTTCCAACCCCCTTTCACTAGAGAAGTAGAAGAGAATGAGTCCCGCATTTAAGCAAGGGTCACCGAGAACAGTGGGTGTGATTTATCCAGATAAATCCATGGCTTCCCACCAACCACGTGCCCTCTTTCCAAAACACCCCTTTGGGCCGAGACCAGCTCAGACACAGCCAGGTCCCTGGGGCTCTGTATGGTCTGTGCCCCGGACTACCACTCGGGACACCTGTCGCCTAGCAGAAGGGTTGGCAGCTGCCAGCCCGGCTCGTTAGAGGTGAAGCTGCGTGTGGAGCCCTGGGGAGCAAGACTGGAATTTTAAGTGAGTGCTTTCAGCCTGGTGCAGCCAAGTCTTACCTCGACTTTAAGAACACAGAAGGTGTGAAGGGCCAGCAGGAGGTCGCCAGCGCTCCGGTCCATCAAAGGCCAGTAAAGTGAGGGTCGTCCTCATGTTGCGCGCCGCTGGCCACACACTGAGGGAGTGGAGCTCACTGCGGCCAGCGGGCCGGGACCTGCCTGACCTGAGAGGGTAGGCGCAAAAGTCCTCAGGCCTGAGCTGACACCCACAGCTTCCAGCATCCAAACCCAGGAGGGATTCCCTGTCTTAGCACCTCTGCAGAACTATACGAACTGTGCCAGTTTGGCTGAGTGTCCCAGTGACCTGTTGAGGTGGCTGCCCAAGGCAGTTGATGTGGGTAGGGTTGGAAAGAGCCATTGCTTTCATCTCAAGCTTTACAAATTACATACACACCATAGAAAACCTTTTCTTTATTTGTTCGTGAGCAAAGGCAGGTCTGCTCAGCCTCCTGGGATGGACAGGCAGGATCTGAGAACTCCATCTCACAGATCACCTTTATAACACCCTGGACAGTGGCAGCCACCGGCACAGGGTGAAAGGTCCAGCCAGCAGGGAGAAGGTGGTTAAGGATCCAAATGGCTCCTTGGGTCATGGGGAGCCTCAGATAGCTGCACCTGGAGTCTGCAGACTCCTGGGAAGGGATGGCTGGCTCTCTCCAGACTTGTCTCCCTGCTCCCAAGTTCCACTGTATATGCTCACCCTGTTACCATATCCTAAGCCCCGTCTGTGGGTAAACATTAAAACTTTTCAGAGGTCCCCTGTCCCACCTCAGAGAAACACCAGAAAAGACTGTCCCCAGGTGTGCATGCACAGGCATGCACACGCTAACCCTGGCTTCGGCTCCCAGGCAAGCCTGAGAAAGTCAAGACACTCAGGAAAAGCCCCAACTGCTTACTTTGCAGCAAATCAGAATCAAGACGTGAGCTGCACACTCAGGATGCTCTCCCAGTGACTGCACTGGGGTAGCGTTAGCTAGTGACTGAAGACCCACTGGGGTGGGATGCTGGGGGAAAACACGTGCTGGGGAAGAGCAGAGCCCTGGGGCAACCGCCCCTACCTGGGGCCTGAAGCCATTGGTGGCCCCTTCCTGGGCCAGTTAGGGAGCAGCTTACTAGACAAGCATGGCCGGCTGAGGCAGCCTCCGTTTGCTCTCAGACAGCAGCAGATCCCGCCACCATTTAAGGCAGCCCTCAGCGCACCCTGTGAGTGCAGGTTCCTGGGGTCAGCGTGGCTTCCCTCAATTGCTCCCTGCCTTAGTTTTTTCTTTACATGCTTATTTCAGGGAGGGGGCGCACATGTCGTGGTGTTCATATGGAAGTCGGTTCTTTCCACCATACGGTTCCAGGGATCAAACTCAGCCCTTCAGGGATGAGGGCAAGTGCCTGTGTTTGCTGAGCTTTCTCCTTAGGCCCGCCCTCATCCTTCCCAGGATTTGCTGTTCTGCCTCTATAGGCCAGAGCAGAGTTACAGGTGCTTGAGAGCTGCCACAGGGGAACGGGGAGGTGAACCTGGCTCTCTCTAGGAGCAGTGCTCCTGAGCACGGCAACCTCTCCGGCTCCCCACCTGTCTTCTGGAACAGGGTCTCACACTGACTCTGGAGCTAACCAGAGACTGTTCCTAGGGATCCTCCTGCCTCTACCTTCGCAGCACTGGGATTACAGGGGCAAACCATTGCACCAGATTCTGTGGGCCACTAGGAACCCCACAGACTGTCCTGACTGAGCTATCTCCTCCTTATTGGAGATAGCAGACAGCCTTCAACCTCCCCCTCGCCCGGGCCCCCGCAAACAAGCAACCACCAGTTTAACTCCAAATCAGGACAGTTGCTGTGATTCAGAGAGGCCTCCTACAGCGAATCCTTTGCCACCAACCAGCCGTGTCCATGAGAACTAAAGAACAACATATAGTCCTCGTGATTGTCACCCCGTGGTTGCACGTCGTCCTCTTGTGATCCTGTCATTGTCATCCCCTGGTTGCATGTCCTCTTGAGATTGTCACCCCGTGGTGCCTTGTAAGAGACCAACATCCTCAAACCTGCTTCCGCACTTGTCACCCCGTGTCCATACTAACTTTCAGGCTCTCCCAAAATTTTCTTTGACCTTAATAGTGACAACTATCCCTTGCTAGGATCTCCACCTTCCGCATCCCACAGCAAGTGTCCTGAGGTGTTGGTCAGGGCTGGCTTTCAGCACCTCTACAGGCACCAGCAGGGAAACCACCTGTGCACTGGGCTGCTTGGCTACAGCTGGGGAGGACACCACACACGGCACCCTTGAAGGGCGGGGGCGGGACAGTGTAGGAGAGAGCGAGCCCTCCCATGGGGACACTTCCTGGGCTGCATCAACACTCAGGGAAGGGCAGGGCCCCTGCAGCAACCGCAACTGGCAGGGATCAAGCCTGTGCCAGCAACTCTGCTCTACCACTTCCGTGAACTGAGGTCACAGCTTAAGACTCCAGCGCTCTGTGCCAACATTTCCGATAAAGACAGGTACGGCACAAGGCCAGACAGACCTAGAGGAGATGGTCTAGGAGGGGCCCTGCACACAGGGCCATGGCAGGTTCAACAGAATTCAAGTTCACTCTCCATGTCGCCCATAAGGAAAAGGCATTTGTTTGGAAAGAGGTTCTGTCAGCTCCAGCCAACCTCCCGAGACTAAACTGTACAGACTATAATGGACACTTTTCTCTGCTCAATGCAACTAACCAGTGAGAATAAGGTTTGAACAGGAAAAAAAAGCCTTGCACGGTAACAGTAGCCATGTGTTAGCCACTTTAATACAAAATGTGATCAACATTCAAATACAAGAGTTTAGAAAGGCATAAAAACCCAGTGTTCCCATTTTATTACAAGTTTCAAAATCTGGGATCATTTCTTGAAGCATATGCTAATCAAGCCAGGGTTAACTTTTTAACAACCAAACTTTAAAACACCAAGCAACAGAGAGGTGTGCCAAGTCACAAACAACACTGACGGCCACAAAGGGCTGCACCTGTGGGGCTGAAGGAAATGCTGCCTCCTGCAAGGGCAGAGACAACATAGCTCTGCTTCTAAGAAGTTGCATAGATACAGAAAGCGCTTAAGCTTCCTCCAAACATGTGGTTACAACAGGTTAAAGGACCCTGGGAGAGGTGCAGTTGCCTCAGAGCACAGGCCGACAGCCTCTAAGCACTTCAGTTACCAGAAAGCAAGCGGCTGCCTCTGCAGGAGTCTGACAAGAGGGCTAGCCTCAGGGGTCCGGAATGCTTCCAAAGAAATCTGACAGACCCCTTCCTTGCCTTTCACATCCTTCCCACCCAACAGTTCTCCATGCACCGTGGCAGGACCCCACAAGTCCCTCTGCCCAGCACCCTGCAGACACACACGGCTTGAACCGACTTCTGAAATGATGGAGATTAAAGTGTTAGGCAAGAACTCTGCCACAGGGGCTGTAGCCCCCCAGGATGACTTTTGTCACTAAGTGCAGTTGTGAGCTTAAGCGACAGCTTAAGTGTAGCAACTTCCTATCTTAGCATGACACACCCACCTCCACCATCCCTTGTCCTAAGCCTCCTGAGCAGGGCTGGGAGGGGCGCCCCCTACCGGAGGAATGCTCTGGAAGCCATCTTCAGCGCCCTCTACTGGACGCTAGAGAAACAGTGTTCCAACTACCTAGGTTTCACTACAAGTCCTTGCTTACCTCTGACACAGATGAAGAGCCACCCAAAGGCATGGACCCCAACGTATTTACAATCCTTTTATAAAGGGCAGAATATGCAACAGTGACACTAAAAGACCAGCTCTTACTTCTATAGGAAGGAGAAAGGTTAGTGCACACAGCTGGGAGCATCTTGTGACCAGAACTGGAGACAACTGTCCCTTTAGTCTGTTGTATTGACTGCCCTTTTTCCAGGAAAAAAAATTAAAAGAAATCACCTGCTTGTTTTTACTGAAAAGCACCACACTGTATCTCAAACCTTCCTTTGAAACAGGCACCAGAAAAAAAACCAACCACCAGGCTTTTTAGACTCAGGTTGGCTGGACTGGGCAAGCCGCCTCTCCCCTACCGCTCCTGTCAGATGCTTAGACTGGCTCTTCTGTTCAGGCTCTGAGCAGAAAAAAGTGTCTATATACAAATGAACGGCAACCCAGTTAAACCCCAGTCCCTGTAATTTCCAACTTCCTGTCCGATCCACACTGCAGAGATACAAGGATAAACCATGGGGTTTTGTTCCTAAATTTTATTTATGAATTAATACAAAACATTCCAGACCAATGTGTCTTAATCCTCATCCTCCTCCTCCTCTTCATCCTGGTTAATCTGGAAGTAACGCAATTCATAACTCTCTTTGCTGTTGGCGACAACACGCAACCAGTCTCGAAGATTGTTCTTCTTCAAATATTTTTTGGTGAGATATTTCAAATACCTGCAGAGAAAGAACACAAGAACTACGCTAGACTGGCGGGTTCCTTGCATTCCGAAACACTGAAATCTCATAAAACACAGTGAAAACAACTTTAAGTTGCACAGACCAAGTACACCCAAGCCAGTGCTCTAACAATGAAGTGAGAACACACCAGCAGACACCACAAAATGGCCTGTAGTAATCACTACAGAAAGATCACAGCGGAAGGTGACAACTACATACACCTTACACCTCTGCGGAGACCACCAACCTTCCCGCCAACTCCAAACACTTCCCACATCTTCTGCACACCTCCCTGAGATGGCAGGTGGAGGTTGTCGGGGCCCCCGACTTCTTGCATGGGATGGCCATTACCAACCCCGTGGGCACAGTAAGTGCTCCCAGCCCCTCCAGAGCTGAGACTCACGAGAGGTCCCACTTTACCCAGGCTGGCCTCAACCCATCTGCCCAGCTCGACCTAACAGTGAAAGCTTATGATCTGTCTTGCCTCTAAAGTTTCTTCAGAAACTTCCCTCCTCTGCTGAGGTCAAACCCGGGGTGCGGTGTATGTTAGACAAGCGTTCCCCACACCTGAGTAGCTTTTCAGTCACACATTTTTAAAATCTATTTGCTGCCTTAGCTGCTTTCCCACAACCCCAACTGTGTTTAACAGCTGAATACCGAAGGTGCCATAGGTAAGGTCCTGCTAGCTGGTGGTCCCAGTGCCATACAGGGAGACTAGGCTATGCTCAACCCCCCACTGGCAAATTAACTTCACCACACGTAGGCTTTTCCCACCACAGAACGAGCCTCAAGCTGCCTGCTCTTTGCTGGGTAGTGGTGGTGCGCTCCTTTAATGGCAGCACCTGGGAGGCAGAGGCAGGCGGGTCTCTGTGAGTTATACACCAGTGAGTTGCAGGACAGCCAGGGCTACAGAGAAACCCATCTAAAAATACAAAATTGCCACTCCTTATACTTTTGTTTTTGATTTTTGGCACAGGGTCTCCCTGTGTAGCCCTGGCTGTCCCAGACTTACCTTGTAGACCAGGTTGTCCTTGAACTCCTCCCTTGCCTGCGATTAAAGGTGTAAGTAAACACTGGCACCCACCCACCAACAAGGACCCTGAGATCGACCAACAGCCTCACTGGCTGCCAAAAGCACTGCCCAAAGCTCAGCTCTACCCAGGCTTCCCTGCAGACAGGTAGGCTGTTGAGAGCACAGGCATTCAAACCCAGTGCATGGGAGAATCAAGTCTGAGGTCAGCCTACAGGCAGACCAGGCTGCTATGCCGCTGTCTACCCAGACTGTGCTTTAGAGCTTAACTCAAAACCAGCTAGTCTCAACACTTATAGTAGGAGGGTCAGAGACAAGGAAACATGTTCTAGACTTCAGAATACCCTTGGATTTTTCAGAAAAATATTGTCATCAAGAAAGCAGTGAGCAGGCTTGGGGCACATGCCTGTGGTCCCACTACTCTAATAACAGGCAGAAAAATACCAAGTTCAAGGCCTGCCTGAGCCACAACCTAAGTTCTCAAGTCAACTTAGCAAGACTGTCTCAAACTAACTCACAGTGAGACAAGAAATGGACCACAGAACAGTGGCACCTAGAGATGGAGCTCAGTGTTACTGTGTCCAAGCCTTGAACTCAGCTCTCAGTCCCCCAAATTAAAAGGAAGTCACCTGGCTGTGGGAATCGCAACGCCAGTATACAAAAAAGTAAAGCAGTACAGCTTGAGAAGGCAAGGCACCTTCAGAAAGCACCTTCAAAATCCCAAAAAGAACAGGAAGCTACAGTTGGACTGTGGTGCCTTCCCGACTCCACTGAGTGAAGGACAGAACTGGTTGGAAACTGAGGCTGTGTCAGGATAAAAAGTCACAAGATGGCAGCATCTGCCCAAGGGCTAAATAAGAAAGGGGGGTTTTGGTTTATCTTTCTGTTTATTTCAATTTATTTTTTATAATTTGTCCACTTTACACCCCAATTTAGCCCCTCCCTCGTCTCCTCCCAGTCCTCCCAACCCCTCCCCAGGACAGGTGGTTTTGTGCACAGCCTGCCTCACTATCACAGCAGACAGCTACCACCTATTCACCGACAAGTCTTAACCAGCGGGCCCCAGCAGGCAGGCAGCTCTTATGCCCAACTGTGCTAAACCCAGCCTGTTGCTGTTTTCACCCACATCCTAACACATAGGGGCAGAGAATCAGTGTCACACCATGAGGAGAATCCACGTAGGCAGTCTCTCTCTCACCCAGTACCACACCAGCACTTACAAGAAGCAAAACTCAATTAAAAACGGATGCTCTCATCAAAGTGTAATGGGGTGGCACCTGTAAGGCCAGCTTTCAGCAACCGGAGACCTCAGCCACACAATGAGCCCAGGCCAGCTGGGGCGGGGCTGTCATCACCAAGATGTAACAGCAGTGGAGGGTGACAATGTAAAAATAGCCAGGCAAGGTGCACAGGCCTTTAATCCCAGCACTGGGGAGGCAGAGGCAGGCAGATCTCTGAGTTCCACGCCAGCCTGGTCTCAAACAAGCCAACAAACAAAAAAATAACAGAGCGCAGGCAAAGTCTAGAAATGACCACCAGCCAAGTAACTATAAATACGTTAACAGGCCTGGTGAAAAGGTTCAGCACATACTCGTTACAGGACCACAGTTCAGATCCCAGCACCCACACTGGGCAACTCCAGCTTCAGGGCATCTGGCCCCAAAAGCACATGCATGCAGGCAGGCCGGCAGGCACGCTCGCACGCACGCACACACACACCCCTAAAATAAATCAAGAGCACTGTTCCGTGGCACACACTCATTCTCTGCCCTTCACACAGCAGCACAGAAGGCAAGCCCCTCATACCTTTTGGAAAAAGGCACCTCAGAGGTGACAGTGATCTTGCTCTTGCTCCGTTCGATGGTCACAACCCCTCCGCCAAGATTCCCAGCTTTCCCATTCACCTTGATTCTCTCCTGGAGGAACTGCTCCTGCAGAGTCAAGTGGGAGTGCAATGGGCTTACCTATCTCAGGGGCAGAGCAGTTCAGACTTCCTCCCAACACCAAAGTACAGGTGTCTTTAAAAATGTGTGTGTAGGTGGGAGTGTGTGCTGTGTGTGTGACTATCAGAGTACAATTTTGTTGAGTCACTTCTCTAAGCAGGTTCTAAGGATCACTGGGGCCATGAAGCTTACAAGGAAGTTCATAAGGAAGGTACTATTCAACACATCCCACGCAATTTGAAGACGGTTTCCTGGCAAACATTCCTGCCTGGGTCTGTGCACACTCACGGTCAAGGGTACCGAGTAAGCCGTGGCAACAGCGATACCCTCTCTCAACATAAAAACCAAGCAAAAACAGTCAAGAGTAAGCATAAAGAGAAGTCTGACTTTTACAGGAACATGCAAAGCTGCAAGCAACCTCTGAGCACTAGCGGAGAGCGTGTCTTCAGCTGGCCGAAGGGCAAAGACAAACCTGATACCACTACCACAGACCTGCCTGGAGTTGCCTGCATGGTACAGCAGAGGCACCAGGGGCCCGAGAGCCCAGACACGCTCTGCAAAGCACCATGGGAGCCAGGGCAAGCCATTCACCTCAGGCTTCAGAGACCTCTGTCCAAAAGGGACTTTTCTGTTCTGTTGCCACTGCAAAAAGATGAAGTCCTCTTCAGCTCAAAGCTACAATTTTAGGGATGGAGATGTGGCAGGGAGAGTACTCACTGGCACGCTTGAGGTCCTGATCAACTCCTGCGACAATTAACACAGGCGTATCTCTTTTTAAAACTCCAGTGCAAACTGTTAACTATGGTGAAGCAGAGGGCTCAGTCTAGAAGGGAAGTCATTAGCAGAGATGAGTGTGCTAAGATGTGCCAGGTGGTAACACCAGGCAGGACAAACGCCGAACAAAAGCCATCAAGGAGTGCAGAGACGCCCAATCTTCCAGAGGACCGGAGCTTGTTTCCCAGCACCCACATGGCAGCATTCGACCATCTGCAACTGCACTTCCAGGGCATCTGGTGCCTTGCTCTGGCTTCCAGGGCTGGTAAGGCACACGTGTGGTACAGACATAAATGTAGGCAAAACACTCATATACATTCAAAAACTTTTTTGGTCTTTTTCTTTTCTTTTTTGGAGGCAAGGCTCTAGTTGTCCTGGAGCTCACTATGCAGACCAGGCTGTCCTCAAACATTCACCTGCCTCTGCTTCACAAATGCTGGATAAGTGTGCACCACGATGCACGGCAAAATAATTTTTTTTTTTTTTTTAATTAAGAAAAAAGAAACTGCCAACATGCAGAGGACCAAAGCCATGGAGAACTCACTGGATAAAGAACTTAGGCAGTGGGCTGGAGAGATGACTCAGCAGCTAAGAGTATTAGCTGGTCTTCCAGAGGACCCTGGTTCAATTCCCAGCTTCCACAAGGCAGCTCACAACTGTCTCCAAATTCCAGTACATCCAACTCCCTCACACAGGAATGTATGTATGCCAAACACCAAATGTACATAAAAAAATAAAATATAAAAACACAACTTTGGGAGCCAACTGAGGTGCATTTACACTTGAGGGACAGACACCCACACAAGGTTAGTGGGCTGCACTTACACTGTGAATATTAATGGCTATGTGTTATCCCTGTACATTTTAATTTTCAATTTTTTTTGGAATGACTGCTCTTGACAAGTTAACCTTCCGAATGGTGAAGAACAAATGTGAACTTAGGAGATGTTTGCATACAAAGCCCACATCCCAAGAGCCAAAATGGGGCTGCAGAGACTTAATTCTAGATAAAGGGGAACATAGGGATACCGGGGACCAGGGTCAACTACAAGGGGAAACAGAAAATCAGGACAAGGTTAGAGATGGCTCTGGGTTGAGAGTTCCTGTTGCTGTTTCAGAGGAACACAGTTCTCAGTAAAAACACAGTAGCTCACCTGCAACTCCAGTTCCAGAGGATCAAATGCCCCAACCCCGTTATGGCCTCCACGGGCACTGCACACACACGGTAGAGACACACATGCAAACATACATACAAGAAACTTTAAAGATAAAAATCTTTAAAACAATTTAAATGAGCAGGGTGTGGTGGCACAGGCCTGTAACCCCAGCAGATGCAGCCTGGTCTACAGCCAGGGCTACACAAGGAACGGGGTGCAATGGTAATCAATGCTGGACCCAGGAGTTTGCCTGCTTCTGGGTAAGGTCATCTCTAGAAACCATCAGAGGAAGACAGAAAAGCTAAACGACACCTACGTATCACAGCTTATATCTATCTCAAGAGACTTGAGCAACAAGTAACTAATTTGCCCTGGCTTCAGCTAAGTGAAAGAAATGGGACCGCCTACAAGCCCAACAGACTCCAAAAGGTTTTCCCAACTGTCACTGCTTCCCAGCCCAGAGGAGCAAAAGAATGTCACTTACAAAATTGGCAGCGTCCATGATTCCATCTTCTACAGGATGGGTGCAGTCAAGGGTGAACTTCAAAACCTGCTTCTTTTTTTTGCCCCCCTTCGCCACAAGCTTTTTCTAAGGATACACAGAAAACAGAGATAAATCCTCAGGTAGTCCTCAGCAAAGAAATAAACAGAAACTAAAAATAAACAAATCATGTCAGAGGCATAGAAGTCCTTACAAACACAAACCCAAGGAGGTGGGTTCCCTTCTAGAGTGCCAAGAGCCTTGTTCTAGACGAGAAAAGAGGGGGAATCATTACCGTCTTGTCCTACTCAACCTCTCCAGACTCCCCAACCTTTTCCCAAGAAATGCTCCTTTATTTTATTCATTTGCAAATGCAAGCATACAAGTACCTAGTACACTCAATTTTAGTGTGAAATTGATCCTTAGCCTCTATTTTTTGATTAGAGCACTTCATTATCTTCCTCAGCATCTAATCTCCAGACCTCAACACCCCCCCCCCCCAGAAGGGGAGCAAAAAAAAAAAAAAAAAAAACTTGAAAATATTCTAGCTGCTTTCCATGCCAGCTTCAAGATCATGTGTGGTCAATGGTTTCCAGCTTTCTGACTGGCTTAAGAAGTAAGACTAACAATCTACACCTTTGAGGATCAGTTTACTTTACAAAATAACATCCAGCAATTGGCTCTACCGACCGCCGAGGCTTTTAAAGACGTCCCTAGGTTTCTGCTATTAAGTTTTGCAGTTCATACAAAGCACACTACCTAGCTTCCTGTTCAAAAGACCATCCACAACTTGTACTGAGTCAACTTTCCAGTTCCCACAAAATCGTCCTATCCATGTTGTCTTCCCACTACCAACCAAAATGATTCCTTTTAAATCCAGCCCCGGGAAGAACCTAAATCAGTAAGAGAACCTACCCACAATGAACCCCAAAAGCTCCCACCAAGATTCTCACCCAAATGCACTGAAGCATTTGGAAGTCATGGTAGAAAGACTAAAACAACCGGAAATGCACCTTAAGCGTCCCGACTAAAAAACAGAGCACGGCCTAAAACCGTTCGGTCCAAGTACAGCGATCCCCAAGAACCTGACATGAAGAAACTGGGCCTTCGTCTTCGCTCAACACCAGAAACTGTACACTGTTGCACCCTAAGAAAAGCAGCTTCCTCCAGGGGTACTAGGAGAACCAGCCTTGTCTCTGGCCACCCTGTGGAGGGCCATTTCCACTTGGCCGCCCGGGATGGCAGATCACATCCGTCTTCCCCGCCCCTCGCCCAAGTAACCGGGTCCGATGCCCCGAGACCGGGGCTGGAGTCCGGGGCCCGGCGACGTCCAGCCCGCAGCCTCTAAGCTCCCGCGGGCCCGGGCGGGCGCCCGATGCGCCACCTCGAACCCTCCGGGCTCTCTCGCACCGCCTCGAGCCGCGGCCTCCTCCGCCCACAACGTGCTGGGCCCCGCCGCGGCCCCAGTCTCCTCCGCCCCGCCTGCCAGGCCGCCCCGGCCTGCCACTGCAGGGCGCAGTCCCCCACGCGAGCTGGAGCCGGAGCCGGCCCACCAGGCCCACGTGCTACTCCCCGAGCCGCGGCTTCACGCGGAGCCATACTAACCACTGGCGCCATGGCGGCAGAGGAGGCAGAAAGGGAGGGGGCGCACTACGCAGGCGCGAAAAGCCGCAGCGCGCAGCGCACACAAGGAGCCAGGCAGCAGCAATCGATCGTCCCTGCCTCTCGATCGCCGCCGCCCAGCGCCTATGTAATGCTCGGGCAGCTATTGCTCTTCCCAGGGTAAAGTCAGCTGTCAGGAAGAGGCGGAGTCGGATGGACCGTCCCACTGCGAACGACCGAGGGAGCATGGAGGAGCCTAAAGAGAAATAAAGGGGTTAGCTCTACTTTCGAAAGCCTTGAAAAATTAAGGCGAACGTTCCCTACCCAGGAGATTACCAGCTGGCCGTTTGAGAATCGAACACAGCATCTTGAGGACACTGGGGCAATCCCCTTTTGACCACAGAATTTAGGATTCCCAGGGTCCGCCAGGTCTGGTGGCTCCCCCCTGTAATCCCACCGCTTAGCTGCAGAGGCAGGAGGATGCTTCAGGAACGTAGCTAGTTTGAGACCACTATCTACAATAGCGAGTTCCAGGCCAGCCAAGGCACATAGCCAAACCCTGAAAGAAAGACGGAGATAAGAGAGTAATGAAAAGGTCCAGTACCATATTTCTTCATCCCTCTGAAAAAGCCCAGCTTTCATACCACCCATGTGACTAGTCTTTCTTCTGCAGCACGCTCCAGTTTTGAGCCCTCAAGTTAAAGCTGGTGCCCTCTGATCACTACTCCCAGCCTTTCTAATCTTCCAGTTCCAAAAAGCCTCCAACAGCTCTCCAGGACCACCCACGTCCAGTTAATACAGGGCCCAGTTCAGCCGCTCGGCGCACACGTGCGTAGTGACTGCTTTCCTCCATGGGTGTACAGCTCATTGACATGACCCCTTGTATTTGTAGCGAGGTGTAAAAGTAACTTTTTTGCTCCGCCTCCGTGCAAATAACTTTTATTCGCCTGATTCATTTGTTGTCTGGGAGGCTTACTGGCTCTGCTAACCTAGGTTTAGTCCTGGGAGCTTCTAGCCTCCGAACAATCTTACCTAGGCCAAAAATGTTTTCAGCCTTTGAGACTTAAGCTCACCCTTTTTTTGTTCCTTTTGAGCTCTGGGCTGGCTGTTTTAAGTCAGCTGTTCTGGCTCAAACTCCTCTTCCAGCTGACTTGTTCAACCTGGCTTCTCTCTCAGTCTCTGAACTGCTCTGCTTGGCCTCAAACTAGCTCCAGCAATCTGCTCTAATCTGGCCCCTTCTCATTCTGTCTTCACCAGGGTTCTTCTGCCTATCTCTATTACTGTCCCGGTAAAACTGTCTCCTCTCTCTCTCCCTTACCTCTCTCTTCCTGAGTGTTTGGCATATCCTATTCTGTCAAGTCTTCTCTGATTCCTCACCTTTTCTGCCATTCAATTAGGCATCACTTTCAAAGGTGGGTGCTTCCTGCTACAAAGTAACTTTGTGGTCATTGTTTGGGATTAAAGGCGTGTACCACCACACCTGGACCTAAGCTTTTCTGTACCTGACTTGCTCTACACCAGGCTGACCTTGAGCTCAGATCTGCTTGCCTCTGTCTCCTGAATTAAAGGCATGCTTATATTCCAGCCGGATCACACAGACCTAGAAGATCTTTGGATGTGACCTCTTGCCAGAACAGCCATGTTCCGTATTAAAATTCCTCTATAGGGAGATAACCTTCAGGATCCTGAACTGTGATCACACAATCCAGTTCTGTTACCTGGATTCCATGAAAGCCCCGCCTTGATTTACAGTCTTTGAGGAAACACACCATGCTGATTGGTCAGTTGTCTGTGCCAGTTAATCAGGCTTCAGAACTGATTGCTGTTTTCTTGGTTTGGTTACCTTTGGTTTGGTTTGGTGTGGCAGAGACAGAGGCTCACTCTGTATTATTCCTTAGCCCAGGGTGGCCTGAAGATCACTACTCCCACCTCGCATTAGACTCAGCAATCCCCCTGCCTTATTCTTCCAAATTCTGAGATTATAGGCATGAACCAACATACCCATGGGCAGCCTGCTGTTCTTGGCTTTGCAATGCTGTAAACCTCTCTGCTTTGGCAGCTACCCCCAGTTAAATCCGATAAGAAGTAGCTTTGAAGAAGTAACTTTGGGCTGGAAAGATGGCTTAACGGTTAAAAGAACTGGCTATTCTTCCAGAGGACATGGGTTCCATTCCCAGCAACCACATGGCAGCTTCAATTCCAGGGGATCTGGTGCCTTCAAACATACATGCATGCACATAAAAATTTTTTAAAAAGAAAAGAAAAAATTAATTTTTAAAAAGTGGCTTTGCTTCCTCCTTGTCCTGTTGGCATTACCTATTCTTGCTTCATTCTGTCAGCGGCCATTAGAACATGCCAGAAGCAGTAGTGGTATTCACCGTTATTCCCATACTTGCAGAAACAGTTCTCCTTTTTCCCTCCTAGCCCCCAGATAGACAACATCCCTCTTCAGGCATCTGTTCAGGATATTTGATCACACTGTGAACCTCGAGCTTGTGAACTGGAAAAAAACCTGTTTCTAATTGTGGTGTGGCTCAGCCACAGCACACACCTTGAACCCAAGAGCTTTCTGTAAGCACGAGCTAAATAAAGTCAACCATCGTCAAGAGGTGACGCAAACAGTTGACAGGAAGTGAACATAAGAAAACATGGGAAGGAGGGACATGGAGTTGAAGGGGATTTAAGGCAGCATGGAGAAAGAGAAAGGGCTTTTTCCTCCTGGGACATCAGCTGAGGAGAAAGGTCAGCTGGGTGCTTTCTCTGCCTCTGTGAGCTAGCAGGCTTTCACCCCAGCATCTGGCTCTTGAGTCTTTATTGGTAAAATCGAACATTTTGCATTTTCTTTTCTTTATAACAGCAGACTTCTGAGTCTCAACTCTTTAGAGGAGCTATAGCGCATTTTCAGCCTGTGGCTCAAAGACTACACATAGTCAAGAATAGTTCTGAATTCAGGCCGACACATCTGTAGACTACAGCATCATGCTTGTGTATACATGCTGCAGTCTAGGGGGAAGAGGTCAGTATACTTGTAGGAGTCAGCCAGCTCCTTCCTAAGAAGTCATGTTTTCAGGTTTGGTGACAAGCCCTTGTGTACTGAGCTATCTGGCTAGCCCTGAGAAAACTTTTTTAAAAATATTTTATAATTTTTGGTGGGGGAAGCATACCATGCTCATGTGTAGAGGGAGAGAACAATTTTTGGCCTCTCACCTCCCACTGTGTGAGTACTGGGGACCAAACTCAGTTTGTCAGGCTCTGTAACAGGTATTTTCACTCTTGGAGCCATCTTGAAAGCCATGAAAAATAAATAAACAAACAATCCTGTAAATGTTTTTTGTCAAAAACCACAGACAAAAGCTGAGCATGAGCGATGGTTTACAACTGTAATCAAGGCACTCATGAGGGTGAGGCAGGAGCATTACTACAATTAAGGCCAGTTTGTCTGAAAGAGAACGAGAACTTGTTATGCCAGGTTCACGGGACCCTCAGAGACCACCAGGAGACGACTCGATGCAATTGCAAGAGAGCTTTATTACGAGAGCGATCGAACTCGGGACCCAAGTCTCACTGGCGCAGCAGTAGAGAAGTGGGACCCCGAGCTCTGAGTGAACAGAATTTTTAAAGGGAAAGTCTGTGAGCCGGGGGTTTCCATGGCAGCAAGCAGGGGGGCACAAGCCTTGGCGTTACAGAATTGGGTGAAGTTTAGCAGGGCGGGGTGACCTTTTCTGAGGCACATAATCACAATGGCTAAGGCATATAA